ATTCCCTGACCCCTTGCACTACCTGGGTGAGGCAATGCCCTGCCCTGCTTTGGCTCACACTTCGTGGGCTGCACCCACTGTCTGACAAGCCCCAGCTAGATGAACCCGGTACCTCAGTTGGGAATGCAGAAATCACCCATCTACTGCATCGCTCATGCTGGGAGCTGTAGACTGGAGCTGTTCCTATTTGGCCATCTTGGAATCCCACCTTTAATTAGGTTTAATTATAAAGATGTTCAGATTATCTCACAAAATAAAACTCGACTCTGTGCTATCACAAGAGGCATAAACAAAGTGATTTAAAATGGCTTAAATACCATGTATTGAAATCTAAAGCAAAACAAAGGAATAACAGGCATATGCAAACAAGAAAACAGGAATCACCATCCTCACACCAGGTAAGTTAGAATTCAGGGCCAAAGGCATGAAATAGGACAAGGAAGTACACTTTACAGCACTAAAGGAGACAATTCACAATGAAGATATAACAGATATCAATAACTATGCACCCAATAAGAAAATGCATGTGTCATAAAGCAGAAACTAGGAGGTGCAAAGAGAAATCTGAGCATGCCAATAACAGCAGTTTTAACTCACCACTCTCAGTCCATAACAAATCAAAAAAACAAAAGGAAGGCTGTAGAAGACCTAACCAAAATAATCATAAGGAAGTTTTTATGAATATGAATATATGTCAGACTCTGTAATCCAATATTAGAGAATATGCTTTCTTTTGAAGCATACATGGAACATTCATGCAAATATCCCTTATATGTAAAGAACTCTTAAAAATTGAGAAAAATAAGTCTGAAAGTACCATAAGCAAACATTCAAAGACTATGAAAGAAAAGACATGCAAAAATCTTGAAATATATGAAAAAGTACTCACTTTCACTCCATTATTCCTTACCTATTAGATCAGCAAAAATCCAAAAGCTAGACAGCACACTGTTGACAAAAATGTGGGAGAAACCGGCACTGTCACTGCTGGCCCAACTCACAGAGGAGAATTTGACAATATACACTATTTGAGCAACAAATACACTAAAAGCCCAGACTCTACCACCACACACTATATCCATGTAACATGACTGCACTCATACCCCTAAATCTAGAAAAATAAAATAATAATAATAAAGGCAATGGATGGAAACATAGTAACTGTGTTTGAATCTATGAGTTCATAATAATATTTTTAAGACAAATAATCCTATTTAAAAGTGGGTAAAAGGCATGAATAGACATTTCTCAAAAGAAAATATATGGATAGTCAACAAACCTATGAAAAAATGCTCAACATCACTATTCATGAGGGAAATGCAAATTAAAACCACAATGAGGCCAGGCCCAGTGGCTCATGCCTGTGATCCCGGCACTTTGGGAGGCCGAGGCAGGTGGATCAACTGAGGTCAGGAGTTTGAGACCAGCCTGACTAACATGGTGAAACCCTGTCTCTACTAAAAAATACAAAAATTAGCCAGGCATGGTGGCAGGTGCCTGTAATCTCAGCTACTTGGGAGACTGAGGCAAGAGAATCGCTTGAACTCAGGAGGCAGAGGTTGCGGTGAGCCGAGATCACACCACTGCACTGCAGCCTAGACTCTGTCTCAAAAAAGAAAAAAAAAAAAGAAAAGAAAACCCACAATGAAATACCACCTTACTCCTGCGAGAATCGCCATTATGGATAAGTGAAAAAACAATAGATGTTGACATGGATGTGGGGAAATGAGAACACTTAGATGCTGCTGATGGGAATGTAAATTAGTACCTCTGTGGAAAGCAGTACAGAGATTCTTTAAAGAGCTAAAAGTAGATCTGCCATTTGATCCATCAGTCCCACTACTGGGTATCTACCCAAAGGAGAATAAGTCATTATATGAAAAAGACACTTGTGCATGTATGTTTAGAGCAGCACAGTTCACAATTGCAAGGATGTGGAACCAACCTAAGTGTCCATAAACTAATGAGTGGACAAAGAAAATGTGGTATACATACACCATGAAATACTATTCAGCCATTAAAATCAATGAAATAATGTCTTTTGCAGCAACTTGGATGGAGCTGGAGGACTTTATTCTAAGTGAAGTAACACAGGAGTGGAAAAACCAAAAACGATATGTTCTCACTTATAAGTGGGAGCTAAGCTATGAGTATGCAAAGGCATACAGAGTGATACAATGGACTTCAGAGACTCAGAAAGCGGAGGCTGGGAGGGGGCTAGAGATAAAAACAACACACTAGGTACAACGTACACTAACTCACACAGGTGCACTGAAATCTCAGAATTCACCTCTATATAGTTCATTCATGTAACAAAAACTACTTGGACCCCAAAATCTATTGAAATAAACACAAATAATAACATTTTTTTAAAAACTCATTAGTCACTTACAGAAAATATTAAGAAACCAGCTATATTTTGATAACCAGTAAGTAAAAGGAGGGAGGAGCAAGCATTCATCCTGCTTTTTGTATGCAATGTATATCAGGGTAACTAAATATTAAGAAGGGGAGTCTCTTTATAAAACTATTGCAGCCAGTAAATGAAGAATAGAATTTATCACCATTTTGAAACCTTTATTAAAATAAATCCTGGCAATGATCATAAATGACTGCTAATATCACAAAAAGCGAGGCAACCAGACATTATATGCCTTCTGATGGAAGTACACAACCACCACCTAGGAAGTATTCTTGCCAAAAAAAAAAAATCAAATTTGAATCTGTTTAAACCCTTGGATCTAAATACCAGTTTACAGGAAATACAGATGACAGAGAAACAAGTACAATGATACCATAATGACGTAATTGACAACATACAGATTCTGGAAAACTCCTCAGTGAAAATGACCTCATCTTAAATCCAGTTGTGATGTATGACATTAACTGAATTCAGATTCAAACAAGCTGTTCTTAAAAATTTTGAGACAATATATGAAGTAGGAACTTCATATATGGTTGGTTCCATTCATATATTTGAGACAATATATGAAGTAGCAAGCTATTAACATGAGCCTCTGTGGCTCTGTAGTAAACTGGGGATAGCAACAACAATATTTCATTGAGTTGTGCTGAGGCTGAAATGATATCATCCACCCAAGGTCCTTAGCAGCATGCCTGGCCCCTAGGCTCTTTATAGCTATTGGCTGTCAATTACTGATCTGGAGGCAGCTGCAAGGAGTGAGGAGAAAGAACAGCAAACCCGCCTCCCACCAGGAGGAACTTGGGCTATATGCAAATAAGCAGACTCCATCTGAAAGGGCTGCAGGGAGGTGGGATCCTCTGGAGAAAGCCAGGTTTCTTATTTATTTATTTAGTAGAGATGAGGTCTCACTGTCTTGCCCAGGCTGGTCTCCAACTCCTGGCTTCTAGTGATCCATCCACTTCAGACCTCCAGAAGTGCTGGGATTACAGGTGGGAGTCACTGCACCTAGCCCCAGCAGCTTCTTGACATGGGGCCAACAGATGGCCAGCCCCAGCCATGAGGCATCTCCCTCAGGTAGGGCTTTTTCCTAGTATTACATTCTCAGTTGTACTGGCCTTGGCCAGCTCTCTGGCTACCTACATTGGACCCCTTCAGATAACAGTTCTTGTTCCTGCCTGAATTGGCTGGCCAGCCTGAGTGGACCCTGACATTTGTAACTGACCTGTATGCCTTACTGCACTTGTGGTCAAACTACAGATAACAGCAACAGCATGGAGTATAAGGAGTCTGTGATCTCTGTCCTGTCTTCCAGGAAGGTAAGCCCTGTGGGTCTGGTCAGCCTGGAGTAACTGCTAGAAAGAAGTTACATGAAAACATGTAAGCAAGACCCAGAGCTTGCTCCTCAGGGAGACCATGACTCATTTCCTCCCAGATCTCATCTTTGTCCCAAGACATGCAGAATATTAGTACATGCCAACCACTAGTAACACCTATACTTGAGATCCGACCCCTACAAGAAAAAAACAGGTTCTCAGTGGATTGTGAGCAAAACGAAATCACAATCAAAATTCAGTGATAACAGAGCTGTATTAGTCAACTTCCACGCTGCTATAAAGAACTGCCTGAGACTGGGTAATTTATAAAGGAAAGAGGTTTAATTGACTCACAGTTCCACATGGCTGGGGAGGCCTCAGGAAACTTACATTCATGGCAGAAGGGGCAGCAAACATGTCCTTCATCACATAGTGGCAAGAGAAAGAAGTGCAGAGCGAAATGGGGAAAAATCACTTATAAAACCATCAGATTTCATGAGAACTCACTCACTATCACAAGATCACCATGGGGTAACCGCCCCCATGATTCAGGTACCTCCCACCAAGTCCCTCCCATAACACATGGGGATTGTGGGAACTACAATTCAAGATGAGATTTGGGTGGGGACACAACCAAACCATATTAAGGTCCCAAAAGGCAAAGTTGCCTATATCCTGTTCAATAAGGACAAAAGAGTGATCATGTATTAGGAAACTTCAACCTTGAGCTACAGTCTTTTGAATGTTGTCAGGAGGAGAATGGGTGGAGGAAGGCGAGGAAAGAATATAAAGACCCTCCAGCTCTCCCCTCTTTCTCAAGTACAAAGTGTGATCAGTTCTGTTCCTGAACCAGGAAGCAAATGAGAGAAATCAGGTAAGTTTCAGCCCTCTGGGAACTCTTTCCTGTCTTTTCATCCATAATCATCCTTGTGGTATTTGGATTTCAGACACCTCTGTCTTCCTAGCACAGGATCCTGAAAGACATATCAAAGTACATGCATAGGGACCAGCAGACCGAGATGCCACTGGTATGAGCAAGAGGCCATGGCTCCTGGGGTTGTGGACATGCCTGAAGAGCCATCCATGTCTGAACGACCACAAGGAACAATGAAAAGAAGACATCCGCCCAGAACAAGGGGCTTGAGACCTTGGCCCCAATCTCCCTGACAGCCTGTGTCTCAGTGACTTCCCTTCCTTTTCTCCTCCATGCTTTTGGTGTAACCAGGAAGAAGCCAGAAGAATCCAAAACACATTCCTTTTTTGGCAGTTTAATAAATTTATTAACTTATCAGGCCATTCCATCCCAAAATACAATTTGACCAGCTTTAAGAGATGTACATAACAGCACAAGAAAAAGAAAATAACAGAAAATGGGGAAGTGAAAGCAAAGCCAAATAAAATGAAGCCAGGGATTGGTCCACAAATTGCAAAACAAAAGGGCCTGTTCAGGTTTTAGAATTGGATATTAAATCCCTGAGGCTCCTGGTGGACAAAATTTCATCCATTTTAATTTCACAGTCCCCAAGAGGAAATTAAAATCAATCACAAATGTCTCATTTCCATAAGAAATTAGTTGGTTGAGAAAAGTCCTGCGAGATGACACCTGTGCTTCCTGTTTCTCTAGGACACACCAGCCAGGTTTAGCACAAGCTCCTGCCCCTACTACTGATGCTGGTGCTCCAGCCTAGCTGGACTTACCTCTCCATCTGTTTCTGGAAACTTCAGGAACAGGGTTGGGTTGGTGACCTCCATACACGGTCATGAACAAGCCCTTTCCTCTCAAGTGCTGTCCACAGAGGGATTCTCTCCTGCTCTGGCCCCCTGGGTGAAGTCTGCAGTGGAGGATTGCAAAGTGTCTCACCACCACTTCTTGCTGCTCCCCAGTGCCTATAAATATGTGGAAGCTTCTCTGTGGTCCATGAATCCCCACAAAGCACTGAAGCCAAGTGTGTTCTATGTGGAAGAAGAAGACTCCTTTCTCCTCTGTTCCACATTTGTCACCTGCCACTAAGTTAGGGCTCCGTGAGCCCCAGTGACTTGAGATTCTAGTGATTACAGCTCTGCCAGCCTTGGCCTGTGGCTCCTCTCCTGCTTGGGCTCCGACACATCCGTAATGCTGCTCCAGGACCAGCTTAGAGAGTGACTCTTGTTTTCCTAATCCCCCATCCTGTGGCCCTCACCCTCAAGGTGGCACAATTATGGGATATTTTTCTACAATGAAAATGTGGGGGGAAAAAAAAAGTGACTTTAGAAGTAAGTATCATGTAATGGCAGGCATGATCAGAAGCATCTTTACACACAGAAAGAATCACCAACAGTGCCCTGATTAGAAAATCAATGTCTATGTGAATCCCTAGTCGACTATAGCATGTTTAGGTATAATTATCTAATTGGATTCTTCTTTTTACTCATCTAATGCTCTTGACTTAACCAAGTGGCTCTTAAAACAAAGAAGCTCTCAGCTTTGAGGAGTGGGGGAACCAAACACACACCGAAAAGAACTGGGACCTCTCAAACTCTCTGTCTCTTTCTCCAAGCAGCATAAAATGGGGTTACTGGGGTGCAGGTTCCTGTAGGGTTCCTAACAGAGACCAGGTGAGAGATGCAGCACACGGAGGTGAGGAGAAAGGTCACCCGCTCAGCTGCAGCATGGGGTGGGGGAAGCAACAATAAGGTAAGGAAGGAACGTGCCTTTGCCCCCCAAAAACAGGCATTTATTTGGAGGTAAGTGCAGGCTTGCTGAAAGTCAGAGGGAGGGCAAAATGATGCTAAAGACATGGTAGTAGTAATACTGATGCTGGGAGTGTGAAGAAATAGCCAGGAGCTGTGGGGCAAAAGGCTCCAGTGTCTACCATCCCAGGCCTCCAGGCCCATTTCAAATCCCTCCTCTCCTGCAAAGCCTTCCCTGAGCTCCTGCTGCGTGGAGCACTAACCCCTTGTAGCAGACTGGGGCAGGGGCTTGAGATTGGTGTTTGCTATTAACAGGTGGGGGAGCTGAGGGATGCCCAAATGGAGGATGGGATCAAAACTGAGGTCAGGGGAGCTTTGGGAGGCTGAGCTGGGAGGATCAAGATCAGCCTGGGCAACACAAGACCCCCATCTCTCCAAAAAAAAAAAAAAAGAGAAAAAAATGAGGTAAGGGAATATTTTGAATGATTAATTTTGACTTTAGATATTGACTCCATTCAGAAAGAGACCTCTCAGGCAGCTGGGTAACCCCAGCCCAACTGGAAATGCTCTTAGAAGGAAGAAAGTATTGGCAGAACTGAGTCCAGGATGAGTCTGAATGGGTAGGTCTCTCCAGGCATGTGCAGGGGAGGCTGGGTGGGAGCCACTGAGTGTGTACATCAATGCATGTGCTGGATGGGTAGGCCAAGAGCCCCACGATGGGTGATGGTAGACACGGGGGCTTTGAGAGGCCCAGGAGTCACCCAAGCACAGCTGGTTGGCAGACAGCTGGGCTCCTAAGAGGAGAGGCCACAGCAGGAGACAGATCTGGAAGTCATTAGCATCTACATAGAAGAAAAGAGAGAAAGAAAGGAAAAGAAAGGGAAACAGAGTGAATGAATAAGCAAACCCAGGACAGAACTCTGGAGTACAAAGACCCAGAATAGCCTGGGTGAGGCAAGTTCACCTGCAACGCCCACACCCACTCCAGACATCACTGCCTTCATTACTTCAAAACTGCACCCCTGTCCCCAAAGGGTGTTACTCCCCTTCAGAAAGTGACTCAATTCTTTTCTGCAGCCCGAAAGCAGACAGCTACCCCACCGGGGGCCCCAGAACAAGATGAGGCAGGAAGGACTAGCCAGAGCTCCTGACTATACTATTTAGCATGGAGGGAGCCTAGCTGCTTTACACTGCTTCTGGGAGGTGGCCACAGGGGACAATAAGGCCGAGGCAGCCATGACCATTAGTTCAGCTGCTGAGGTCAAGGCCTAAGAAAAAACCGAGTATCTGAAAAAGTCTTGGCCCCTCCTTTCCCTGCCCCTACCTTTGGGTCTGCTGCCTCCTGGGAGTCTGGGGAATGGAAGGCCTAAGGTCTTTTAAGTACCTTTTGATCACTTCAGAGGAGCCAATGCCCTTCTTGGGGTGGAGGGTGAAGAAATCAAGGGGAGGCAGCCATCTGGGGAGACAATCCTTCCTTTAGTAGCTCACATGATGTAACACACTCCCAGGGCAGCATTTGCTGGTTTGGTTTTCCATAACCAGGGTCTGACCTGTGGCCAGGAAGGCTGAGAAACTGTCCACCCATTCTACAGACTCCCAAGAGCAGACTCACACTAGCAAAGCTCAGGGTGGGTAAAACCAGATGTCAGTTTATGTGAGCAGTACAGACCTACTGGAGGGTCAGGCCTGGAACACTGCGGCCCCCCGAAAGAGTGCTTCTTCCAAAGGAAGTCGGGTAAGACAAGGAGGAAGGGACCACCTGAGCCATTTTCTCTCCTGGCCCACACCAGCCTTGCTTTCATGACTGAACCTCAACTAAGATTCATGAGACAAGAATGGCAGATAATAAACATCAAAACTCTTCCCTAAAGACATGAGACACTAACACACTACCAAGTCCAGGGGAAAGGGTAACCAAATGGAGAGGATTATCACCTCACATCCACACAGAGCTCAGCCTGGCTTCCACAGTGAGCGCTCCAGAAAACTTGGGGCTACAATGAAGAATTCAGGGGTCAGTTACAAGGAAGACAGGATCCAAAAAATGATGGTGGGGGGTGGGAGTAGGGAGTGGTCTAGATCTCCTTTGAGGGCCATCTTCCTCTCCATTCAGCACTATCAAGTAGCTCTGTCCTAGGCCCAATACTTGAATCTGAAATTCTTCCTTTCTCATTAGTTTAACTACTCTGCATACACAGATCTCTAGTCCTAGCCTCTCCCCTAGCTTCTAGCCGACATCCAAATGCATAGCATCACCATGATTTCCCTTACGCACCTCAAGTTCTAGACATCCAAAACTAAACTTCTCATCTTCTGCCCTCCTGCTCTATCAGCCTCTCCTCCTTGTGCTCCCAATTCTGAATAAGGACATGCTCCACCCTGTCACCAAAGGCATTCTAGCTTTCCTCTGATGTCCTCCCATCTGCCTCTGAGACCTCTCCCATTCATTCCCTCCTCCTTAGTGTCACCACTGCTCTAGTTCAGACCCTAGCCTTTAGCTGAAATATCACAACAGTGTCCCAACAGGCCATCCTAATTGCAGCATATCCAAGTTCCATTCAGCTGTCAGATTTCAACCATGCACATCTGAACACTGCCCCAGGCCTGGTGTTGACACTCCATTTATATGTGAGGTACTCAGTGACCTTGCCCCAGCACCCCTCTAATATCAGCTCCCTGTTTCCAACCTCCCATCATACACCCCCACCCTGAATCCATGCTATTCCATACAACAGTGCCTTTCCCTGGAACTCCTTCCCTCTCCCTCACCTCAGGATCCTTCCTCTCAGCTCACATTATTAGACAATATCACTGTATTACTGCAGTTACTGACATCTGCTAACTTCTACCCAGGGTTCATCCCATGACCCCTGCCTTGCAGAGAGAACATGGGCCAGGAAAGGTAAACTGGGAGGGAGTTGACGGTGATCCTAGTGGGGCTGGTTCTTGGGAAGGGAGGTTCTGAAGCAGGGGAAGGGGTTAAGAAGGGATCTCACTCTGTGGGAGTAGCAAATCTCTCCACCGGCTTCCTCGTGTGTTAATAAAAGCTCCGTTCTTCAAGGCTGCTTCACATCCACTATCTGATAGATACTTCCCCAGTCCATGAAACAAGCAGGTTATGAACACATCCCAGTGTCATAAGAGGATGGCAGGAGGGGGATTTTCCTTTAAAGTCCTGTGGAAACTGAAGTCCTTGGTCAACAGTTTTAAACCCTTCTAAGGAGAAACTCTGGAGGCCAAAGTGCTGCAAATGCCAAAACCATCCTATGTGAACCTTTCTTACTTAGCCTGTCCATGTGGGAGGCGAGTGTGAAGGGCCAACATACAGAAAGCCCTGGGCAGGCCTGGGACAGGATGGCTCAGGGTAAAATTGTGCCAAGAACCTGGAACGCAGAACAGTGGTCAAGGCCCTCTCAGTAGATGACCATACATACCAGCACCTTCCACCTCAGTCCTGGCATGGGGACCAAGAACAAAGCTTCTGCTTGCCAAAAGGAAAGGCCAGACAGGCAAAAATATAGGGACCCCAGGCTTCTGTTAGGGTTAACCTATGATCAGCCAAGCGTGGCAAGAAGAGGACTGACCCCTGAGAAAAAAGAGAACTCTTAGATCCCATTTCCTTAGCCAAAGCAGTATCTTATTGGAAGAAAAATTACTTAGGCCACATATTTTTCCCAATCTCAACCCACCTATATCTCTCACCCATATTATTGAGAAGATGGAAACTCGCATCAAGTATTTTGATAGTAGCTCATCCTTGCTCAAATCATTTCACCAATTCTGAATATCCCAAGTCCTTTAATCCTTAGGGATTCTCAATTTCCATATTTGTTTAAAAAATTCAAAATGTAGAAATTTTATAACAGGAAGTGTGTCTACAAAGTGCATTGAGATTCTGGCCCCTAAGCTACCTAACATGAATGGGAATTCATTATAGCAATAAGAGCACGACAGACTCAAGACAGACAGATCTGTTGAATCCTGCCTCTCCCACTTACAGATGTGTGACCAGTGCAAGTTACTTAATTTCCCAAGCCTCTAGGAAATGGGGAGAAAGTTAGTAGTTATCTCCTGGGGCTGTTGTGAAGATTAAATGAGATGATGTATACAAAGTTCTTGGCACAGAGCTTGCCAAAGAGCAACAGCTCAATAATCACCAGCCATTGCTGCTATTAATGATTCTGTAATGATGTCACTGTTCTTCCTACTCTGTGCTGAGCTCACAGTGGCCTGCTCTAGGCCAACTCCTCTCTCACCAGAATCTCAACATTCTCCCGAGGATATGCCCCCACTAAGAAAGTACGAGAACCACTGCTGATGGGCTGGATTACACATGGACAGTGTGAAGGCACAGTGAGAACTTAGAATCACTGCTCAGGACCACTGATTTAACTCTAACCTCCTAAGTTGCCAGTTTGGCTCAAATACTGACATAGTTCTTACATGACAGCAAATACAAGGACAGTCTGAGGATTCCGTGTGGGTCTTTACAGAAGAAAAACAAATTACACTTAAGCAAAGTGCCTTCAAATCTGGATCCTTGGTATTTGTAATTCACTTCCAAATTACCTGGTTTATACCTAGATAACTTCCCTGGGTACACACCAAGCTTAAAAATTGGAAAGTTTCTCTCTAGCATACATCTTATGATATAAGATATACACACTGAGTCCTCTTTTGTTGTTGGGAAAACTGTCCCCTACGATGCCTTCCCTCCTGCATGGGTTCTCCGGTGAGCACTGAAGTGGGAACTGTTGTTGAAGTCTTTGCCACACTCTGTGCACTTGTAGGGTTTCTCCCCTGTGTGGATTCTCTGGTGAATAATAAGACTGGAGCTCTGGTTAAAGCATTTCCCACACTCTCTGCACTTATACGGCTTCTCTCCCGTATGAATCCTCTGGTGAGTAATGAGGTTAGAACGGTCACGGAAGAATTTTCCACACTCAAGGCATTTGTAGGGCTTCTCTCCTGTGTGTACTCTCTGGTGTGTAATGAGCTTGGAGCGCTCACTGAAGCACTTCCCACAGTCCACACATTTATACGGCTTCTCTCCAGTGTGGGTGCGCTGGTGGTTGGCCAGGGTGGAGCTCTTACTGAAGCTTTTCCCACATTCGGCACATTCATATGGTTTCTCTCCTGTATGGATTCTTTGGTGACTAATGAGGGCAGAGCTCTTAGAGAAGCTTCTTCCACATTCAGAACACTGATAAAGTTTCTCCCCTGAGTTTGTGCTGTGTGGTCCAGGAGAATTCAAGTCCTTACTGATACTTTGAGGTTGTTCAGGAGACATCTCCTCTGTAGAATTCCTCCAGTGAGCACTAAAAGATGGGCTTTGGGCAAAGTCTCCCCCGGGCTCACTACACTGGTCAGGATTTCCTCCCAAGTGGATTCTCTGATGTTTCAGAAGGTTTGAGCTCTGGTTGAAGCTTTTCCAACATTCTCCACATTTATAGGGCTTTTCCCCCGTGTGGATTCTCTGGTGAGTGATGAGATTAGAGTGATCGCTAAAGCTTTTCCCACATTCAAGGCATTTATAGGGCTTCTCTCCAGTGTGGATTCTCTGATGGGTATTGAGGTTAGAGCGGTCACTAAAGTTTTTTCCACATTCAAGGCATTTGTAGGGCTTCTCACCTGTGTGGATTCGCTGGTGGGCGATGAAGTGGGAGCTCCGACTGAAGCTCTTCATGCATGTGTCACACTTGTAGGATTTCTCCACAAGGTACAGGCCTTGATGGTCAATAAGTTTTTCTAAGTCCTCTTCAGAAGAACTTTCTTGCCACCGTTCCTGTGAGGGATTTCCCCACTGCCCTTCATCTTCATTTTCATTTTCACTGTCTTCTCCCCAGTCAAGAGGCTGGCAAACAGCTTCTGTAGGACATTTTGATAAGGCTCCAGGCAAATCCTCAAAAATGTCCTGCTCTGAAATCTGGTCTTCATCCTCATGCCTCATTTCAAAACCTGAAAAAATGGACAGAAATGCAGTTTTTCTTCACTCATTAGTTAGCATATGTGTGTGTGGGTGTGTGTCTGTATCGTACATCTGTGAATTTGGCTAACATGAATTTGATTCTTATATCTTATATCTCACATCTTATAAATGTGACTAACATGAAATTGATCAAGTTTTGGTACATACAAATGTTTCTGTCCTGCAGAGCTGAGGAATGGACTCTGGGACATGGTGACCTCACCAAGTGAGCCATGGGGCTCAGCCCAGCAGCCATAGCCAACCTGTTTCCCTGGAAAACTCCTCTATCTTAGTACTCAATCATGAACACCTCCTCCTTCTAGTACATTCCATATATCCTGTGTCATACTGGATTGAATAAAGTCTCTAACTGCCCAGATATACCTAGTAAAAGATAGAATGACTGACTGACTGACTGACTGACTGACTGATTCACACAAAGCTTAAGACTGGATAATCTGGTATCTTTTTCCTATTCAATACCATTCTCTCTTTTAGTTAAGAGACAAAAGGTAATGAGCCTGGCTTCCTCACTCTCTCCACATGCCCACGGATTTTGAGAACATCCAATTACTCCAGGCTTACCCATGTCTGGGGCTTTAGGACACAAGGTTGGAGGTTTGGCAGCATCTTCATCGGCCACCTCACCCCAGGCCTCCTGGGCATCAGTCTCAGCACTGCTCTGCCCACACCTAGGGAGACCTGCAGCCTCCCGGGCAGTCCCCATGGACCTGACTGCAGTCCGAGCCCTCATCAGTGAGTCCAGTTCCTCATAGAAAGGACACGTCCCTGGTGGGTGGCTGCTCTTGGCTTTCCGGTAGCTTCGAAGGAGGTTTTTGAATCTGTAGCGACACTGCTCCAGTGTCCGCAGGAAGCCCAGAGCACACAGCCGCTCTGCGATGGCCCGGTACACCTGGCTGTTCTGGTGACAGGTGCGAAGCTTTTCTGAGAATGGGGACTCACTGAGAATTGCCAGGAAGGCCTTGGTCTCCTCATAGCCCCAGTGCACACCTGCTGTCAGGAGTGAAGAGTTGAGAACTGTGAGACTTAATGAGATGTGCCTAGGTCATCAGAGAATAGAGTCACCTGCCCTTTGAAATACCTAGAACATAGGCATGTCAGAAACTATCCAGGTACCTGGGCAATATCCCTTTGCTTCTCAGGGGCATGCTAGGACAGTCAGCCAGAGCTTCCCACCCTCACTCTCTTCTAAGAGATTCTATTAACACTTCAAGTCTTGGCTGAAGGTGAGGACTTAGGTAGTCATATTATATCATTTATATCAGGTGATCCCATGCCCCTGGCTTTGCTGATTAGTTCAGGGAAAAGCCTGTAACCGGGATGCATGTGATTTTCCCCATATTCACTCAATACCTGTCCTCTATTTATTTTATAAATTCTTTTTTTTTTTTTTTTTTTTGAGATGGAGTCTCACTTTGTCGCCACGGTAGAGTGCAGTGATGCAATCTCGGCTCACTGCAATCTCCACCTCCTGGGTTCAAGCAATTCTCCTGCCTCAGCCTCCTGAGTAGCTGGGGATTACAGACGTGCGCCACCACACCCAGCTAATTTTTGTATTTTTTTTTAGTAGAGAAGGGGTTTCACCATGTTGTCCAGGATAGTCTTGATTTCCTGACCTCATGATCCGCCCGCCTCAGCCTCCCAAAGTGCTGGGATTACAGGCGTGAACACCTGGCCATAAATTCTCCTTTTAATAAAACATGAAAACTGAGAATTCTTAAAGATTAGAGACATAAATGAATTTCAAATAGTCCTGCAAGAAAGGCCAAATGAGGACACACTTTCCTCCTTTGCAGAGGAATGAAAAGGAGGTGGTCTAGTCTCAGCTCCTCCGCAGGAAAGTGATGTAGCCCAGGAAGGCAACCATGTAAAACCGGCAGGCAGGAGCCACGGGCTCTGATCCGGGCTCTGCTCCTACCTGTGTGTCTATAAGATGCCTCATCTCTTGGACTTCCATGTTTGCACCTTTACAATGACTGGGTGTTTCCCAGACATTGATTATTCAAGTCTACGCTGTCATGATTTCTGCCATTATCTGTTCAATATTTCACTCGCCATCACTCTTTACCTAAATTTGCTATCTGTGAAATCACAGGTTGATGCACTCATACAAATTAAGAGAAATATATAAATACAAGAATGTCAAGTTCATTCATGTAACGTCGATGATCACCCCATACTACCAGTGACACACTTTTGGAAATACCAGATTCACTCTTTGAGGCCCCTTAAGGCTTTAAAAATGTTTCCTTCTATAACTAAGAAGACTTTTGCAAAGAGACTTGGTCACGGGAAAAGAGAGTTGGAGTTTGAGGATGACCTAAAGAACGTAGCTCTTCACTCTAGTGGCTTCAATCCAGACTTGCAGCCTGTGCCCTGACCTCAGGGAATAGCAGTCTAGCTGGTAGGAGGGTTGGAATCTGAATCTGACTAAACCCCGATGTTCTTACCAATACGGCTCTGGAACAGGGCTGGGGCCCCTGCAATCCTGGGCCCCTGGGTAGACTCATCAGTGACCAGGCCAGCACCGTTACAGTCTTCTGCCATTTCTTCAGGCTCCCAGCCCCCTTCCTCCTGCTCATCCATCTCTGCATCACTATCCCCGAGCCTGGGGAGTGCCACGGCCTCTCCTGGGCCATCTGTGGCTCTGATGGCTGTCCGAGCCCTGACCAGGGCCTCCAGCTCCTCATAGAAGGGGCAGGTACCTGGTGGGTGGCTGCTCTTGGCTTTCCGGTAATTCCGTAGGAGGTTTTTGACCCTGTAGCGACATTGCTCCAGTGTCCGCAGGAAGCCCCTTGCCCTTAGCCGCTCTGCTATGGCCCGATATACCTGGCGATTCTGGTGACAAGTCCGGAGCTTTTCAGAGAAAGGAGACTCGCTCAAAATTGCCAGGAAAGTCTTGGTCTCCTCATAGCCCCAGTGAACACCTGACACCTTCATGTCCTCCACATCCCACTGGTATTGTTCCTCCCAGGCTCTTGAATCCCTCCAGGTCAATGCCTGAGCTGGCTCATTATCCAGGCTGTAAGCTGCAGTGCTCCTTTTCCCAGAATTTGTAAGACTTAGACCCCAAAACTCTGGTCCTTGCTCTTTCTCAGAGGTGATACTTGGTTTTGAAACTGGAACTCCTACAAAAGGAAGAAGAGAAATGACAGAGTAGAAACAGTCTGCTGAGCAGCATGTTTGTCCAAAATCTCCCTGAAACTTCTATCTTTTCCTTGCAAGAGGCTGACGAGAAATTCCCATGCTGATCCAATAAAATGTCTGCAGGAATAGGGAGAGAGAAGAGGTAACACGACCACCATATGAGAAATGTTAAGTGGCCTGTTTGCTTGGTTCATTTGTTTGTTGTTGTTGTTGTTATGAAACATGAAACATCATATAAGAGTGACTCATTGGTCCACAGATGGGCACATGACCTAAACTGGCCCAATCAGACTGAACTCCACAGCTGGAGGAAAGGGGTGTGTGTGTGTGTGTGTGTCTGTGTGTGTGTGTGTGTTAGTGAGTCTCTGTCCTGCTAGGCATCCATTGCCACCACCAGCATCTATCTTTTGACCATGAAACAAAACAGCTTTAATATGGAGCTAACACTGAGGATGGCAGACAGAAAGAAGAACAAAGACCCACTAGGACATTGCTCAGCTAATCTGTACTGTGGTTGGAGCATGTCCTCCTCAGGACTTCTAATAATGTGAGAAAATTAATTTCCTTAATTTTAAAAGTTAGCTATGTTTAAAGGACTGCTATCCCAACAGCTCCCAGCCCTAACAAAATAGGAAGCCTCTAATTAAAATAAATACTTGAAGAAAACTAGATGAAAAGGGTTTCGAAAGGCATAGGGACAATCTAATTCAGCATTTCCCGAAGTCTGTTCCTTTGAACACTATCTCCCCCAGATACCATGTGTAAAAAGGGGTTCCACTGTCAAGCAAGTAGCCAGTAAGCTTCTGGTATCTAAACTTACCATGAGTCACGCCTATCAGAGTCTCTTCTATTTCAGCTATTCACGTGTCTAACTCCCCGCACAGTGATCCCGGGCTCCACAGGGAAACGGCTCCCTATTATTTGACTTGCCACATAGGAGTGCCCACAGAGAAAGGAGTCTGTGCTGGTTATATGGGCTTCAGGTATTTTGGACTCTGTGACATTTATTCCTTCTGGGTTTAATTCATTGGTCTCATGGGTTTAGTTCACTGAAGTCTGCCTGAGAGAGAGATCCTATTTACAATGCTGAAAAAAATCAGATTTCTGAGACAGCAGGCCAGGCCTGGCCCCTGGTCTGTGGTGAATGGACTGAGGTAAGGAAGTTAATATGCCCAGAGAGGGCAGGCTCTTGGAAGCCATCCTGCCACCCCATCTCCAGGCAGCCTCCATCCCTGCCATGAGAGTGCTGGCTACAAAGGGCAAGTCTTCTTCCTATGTCTGAAATTCCAGAGACTGCAGAGCCATGATTCTTAAAGGAGTGGCAAAACCCTCTTTGGGAACTGAGTGTATCAGAAGCATGACAACATCACCTTCAGAGGGCACATCTCCTTACCCAGGTACACGCTGTTCCCACAGTCGTCTCCTGGGGGTTCTTTACAGAGCTCCTTCTCAGCATGTTTGCCAGGGCCCAGGGCTTCCTACGAGATGCACAAGACAAGGACCCCAAACATCACTGACCTTTGACAACAGCCTAGGAACCCTAGCAGGCCCCAGGAAAGATGATGGGAACAGAGGGATACCATGTGTGAAGCTGGTATCATAAGGAGCAGGATGGCCGTTTGGTTTGGTACATACATGTGTTTGGGGATGTTTGGGGCGCAGCAGACTGGGGGTGAAGGGCAAAGGCTAACACCCTGGGTCTCATGCCCTTTTGCTGAGTAGAGGTCATGGAGAGAGAGGAGGAACACTGGGTGGGCAAGAGCACAGGAGCAGCAATGACAGGAAAGGAAGAACGAATAGCAGCTTACCTGGGACTCAGCTGTCACCTCCCAATCTCCAACGCTCCCCATCTTTGGGAGAGTAGGGACTCGGGGAGTGAGGACAGCTGAGGGAAAGAAAAAGTCTCTGAAACCCAAGCTCTGATTCCCAAAAAATCACCTCCCTCTGAGATTGGCTTTCCAAAAGTCACACTTGGATCAAGCTGGGGCTATCCCTATGGCCAGTGCAGACTTCCCCTTTATTTCTCTTCTAGAGTGTGTAGCTCCTAAGCTGCTGTGAGTGGTGTGCCACGTGTCAGGCCAGCCCTGACCTCCTGTGGTCACCACCCACTCCTGTCCCAGCCTGCACCTGCTGCAGGACTCCAACTACAGCGGGACATGCTGGCATCACCCACAGCCACAGCCTCTTTACGACGCTTGCTTACTTCTCAGTAAGTGTGCCCACCACACTGCAGCCTATCCCTTGCCTTGAATTTTGCACATCCTTCTTCCCCATGCACCCTTCCTCACCTCCCATTCCTCTCCCCTGCAGAAGGCCTCATTCCCTAATGTTCTCAGATTCTTGTACTCACCACTCTCTTTCAAAGGCTGTGGTGCCATCTTGGCATTTAGATGATTGGGAAGGTCAGGGCATGTATTCTTCACCCCCTTCTTCTGAGACTGTCCCTCAGGCCAGGGATCCATTGGCTGCGGCTGGAAGCTCTGAGATTCTTCCCCTGTCTTTAAGGGCCTGGTCTCTTCTGTATACAATTCCAGTTCCTACACACAAATAGCCAAAATTCCCACTCATCAATTCAGTAAGACCCGCTTCGGTATTTTGAGTATAACTGTGGTCCAGAGGCTAACAGGCTCTTTTAAGATCCAAAATGACTTGAAGTAGGATGAGAAAGCCATCAGAGTGAGTTCGGTAGGTAGATCAGCATTTATACCACCAAATGAGAACTGTTGAACACACGGTGGCTATCCAAGTGTTTCAATGAGAGTGCCACTGTTTAAAACATTTTTGATCCACAGAGATAAATTATGTAAAATTTGTGTAACATTAAAAAATAACCCATAAGCATCAAAAATAGGTTGCTTAGTTTTTAAGTGATCAAAGAGAGAGAAAAGTTACCAAGTTGCATATTAAAAGGCAAAGGGAAGCATAAAAACAGGAAAAAAAGATAAAATCATAACACCAAATGCAATTGCTCTAAATATCTCTGCTGAAAGACAAAGCTATTTTTAAAATAAAAATTTTAAAAAGGGCAAAGAATTATAGATGGAGACTGGGTGCAGTGGCTCATGCCTGTAATTCTAGCATTTTGGGAGGCTGAGGCAGGGGAATCACTTGACACCAAGGGTTCAAGACCAGCCTGGGCAACACAGCAAGACCCTCACCTCTATAATAAATAAATAAATAAAATTAACCAGGTATGGTGGCACATGCCTGTACCCCCAACTACTCAGGAGCCTGAGGCAGAAGGATCACTTGAGCCCAGAAGTTCGAAGTAACAGTAAGCTATGATCATGCCACTGCACTCCAGCCTGGACAACAGAGTGAGATCTTGTCTCAAAAAAAGAAATTAGCTGGAATTTTAAAATAAGATAAAAGTACGTGTTGTTAATCTTAAACCAGAATGACATGCAAAAGACAAGGCACTCTAACTCAAAAGGAAAAAGGAAGTGGCAATTTTCATTTCAATGTTGGATTTCAGGCAAAAAGAAAAAGGTACTCAGAGATATAGAGAAGATATTTAAAACAAAAAGGAATAATCAACTAAAATAGCATTACCCAGTCAACTTCATCAATCATACAGCTAATTTCTTATCTCTATTTCTCAGCTGGTTCCAAGTTCAGAGGTAGAGAGGTCAAGGTGTTATCCTGGCTGTAAAACCTCAACAATATAACAATCTCAATACTTTATAAAAACACCTAACTTTTAAAAATGTATTTCAATTTTTTTTCAATAGATAATAGACTCACATGGTTTAAAAACAGAAAATACATACAGGGGTATATTCAGTGAAAATGCCCCACCCCCATCCATCTCCATCCCGTCGATCCTGTTCTTTTCCCCTCTTCTCATCACAGGAAATCCATATTCTTCATTCTTTTAGAGTTTCTTTCTAGATACAAGCAAATGTAAATGTGTATTCTTAGCTTCCCTCTTTTGTATACAAAAACTTATGACTAGATATACTGCTCTGAGTCTTATTTTTTTGAACCAAAATAACAACAACTATCTTCATTAACTTACTGAGTTTGCCAAACTTAGCTGTAAAACTTTTTTGGTTGGCCTGAAAATCCAAATCCACTCACAGAGAAGGACTTTTACCATTGAGAAGACATATAGGAATGGGCCACGAGCATCAAGGGCCATTCCAAATAAGAAGATCCACCAGTGTCCTGTGTGACTTCACAGGGAGAAAACATCTGCTTATCAATCAATCTTCTTATATGGTCATGTTAAAAAAAATTCACTTTGTTATCATTATAATCTACAGAGGAACTGTGTGACTAAATTCAACAACAATCTTTACTCTCAACCCCAGTTCCTCCAACCATTACCATCCCTAAGCAAAGACTCTGATTCCATGGATAGTAGTTTTGGACACAGAAAGAAGTAGATTCAAGTGACAACCAGGAGGCAAAAAATTAGTAGGTCAAACTTCTAGTTTCCAAGAAGTCTGTAGAGTCTAGAATTTGCCACTCTAGACTCTACAGTAACAAGTAAAAAGCTGAACAAACTGAAAAATCAACAACTCTTCTTAGATCTGTCAGAGAAGTAAGGCCACAAACCACTCTCCCCAAAATTGGAGAGACAAACAGGTGGAATCAGAGAATCACAACTTAGTGGAGCAGAAGCGTCTGTGGGAACCAGTGCCGGGGAGAAAAACCTAAACTGTAATTGACGAACTGCTGGAAGGACAGTGCGGACAACTCTGAGAGGTAAAAACTCCAGGGCACTTAATTACTGAGCAGGGGCACATTTTCATAAGTTTTATCTCCAGGAGTTCAACCAGATCCTCACAGTTAATATCAGAGAAAAATCTCTTCTTGCTTATGGCAGATGGCAGGAAAAAGGAACCATTTTGAAATATGCCAGGGCACGCTGCTCTTCTTAGTAATGCCTGTCCTCAGCAGAAACTGTTTTACCAAAGCCTAACCTAACTGTCGGAAGAGAAATATGCGATTCCAGCTCCCTCTACTCTTCCACATGGAAGATGAGAAATACCCAATGCAGCCCCCTCTAGGCATCCTGTGCCACCTCAGATGGGGAAAAAATTGGGAAGCACTGGCAAAGGTCAGAGTCCAGGGACACAGGTACACCAACATAAGACCTAGAAAAAAGAAGAGCAAATTAAATCCAAAGTAAGCAGAAGAAAAGAAATAAAAATTAAAGCAGAAATAATGATATTTAAAACAGGAAATCAATACAGAAAATCAACAAAACCAAAAGCTAGTTCTTTGAAAAGATTAATAACATCAATAAGCCTCTAGTCAGACTAAGAAAAAAGACAGTCCAGGCACGATGGCTCACACATGTAATCCCAGCACTCTGGAAGGCCAAGGCAGTGGATCATTTGAACCCAGGAGTTCAAGACCAGCTTGGGCAACATGGTGAAATCTCATCTCAACAACAACAAAAAATATACAAAAATTAGCTGGGCCTGGTGGTGTGGTCCTGTAGTCCCAGCTACGTGGGAGGCTGAGGCAGGAGGATTGCTTAAGCCCAGGAGGCGGAGGGTGCAGTGAGCCAAGGTCCCACCACTACACTCCAGCCGGAGTCACAGAGCAAGAATCTGTCTCAAAAATAAAAAAGAAAAGAAGACAGAAGACAAATTATTAATATCAGAAATGAAAACAGAGATATCACTACAGATTCCATGGACAATGAAAGTATAATAAAAGAATATTATAAACTACATAAAGGTTAATAAAGGAATATCTGTGGCCACACACTTGATAACCTGGATGAAAAAGACCAATTCCTTTACCCACCCAATCTGCCAAAACTCACACAAAAATAAACAATCTGAATAGGCCCATATCTATTAAGGAAATTGACTGAATAATTAATAACCTTCAAAACAGAAAGCACCAAGCTCAGATGGGTCTACTGGTGAATTCTACCAAACATTTAAGGAAGAAATTATAACAATTCTCTACTATCTCCTCCAGAAGATAGAAGCAGAGGGAATATTTCCTTATTTATTCTATAAAGCCAGCATTTACCCTAATACCAAAACCAAAGAAATTACTTACAAGACAAGAAAGCTACAAACCAATATTCATCATGAACAAAGATGCAAAAATCGGCCAGGTGCGTTGGCTCACACCTATAATCCCAGCACTTTGAGAGGCCAAGGCAGGCAGATCACAAAGTCAGGAGTTCGAGACCAGCCTGGCCAACATGGTGAAACCCCATCTCTACTAAAAACACAAAAATCAGCCAGGTGTGGTTGCGGGTGCCTGTAGTCCCTGCTACTCGTGTGGCTGAGGCAGGAGACTCGCTTGAACCTGGGAGGCAGAGGTTGCAGTGAGCTGAGATCATGCCACTACACTCCAGCCTGGGCGACAGAACCAACGAGATGCCATCTCAAAAACAAACAAATAAAAAAAAGATGCAAAAATCCTCAACAAAATATTAGCAAATCAAATCCAACAATGCATAAAAAAGAAATTACACACTACAACCAAGTGGGATTTATCCCAGGTATGCAAGCCTGGTCCAACATTTGAAAATCAGTTAATGTAACCCATCACATCAACAGACAAAAAATGAAAAATCACATGATCATATATTATATCAACAGATGCAGAAAAAGCATTTGACAAAATCCAATACACATGATAAAAACTTGGCAAACTAGGAATAGGGGGGAACTTCCTCAACTTGATAAAGGACATCTACAGAAAACCTAGAGCTAACATCCTACTTAATGGTAAGAAACACAATGCTTTTGCACTAAGACCAGGAAAAACGCAAGGATGTTCTCTCTCACTATTCCTTCATACTGGAAGTCCAGACTAATACAAGATAAGAAAGGAAACAAAAGGTACGTAGATTGGGAAGAATGAAAAAGACTGTCTTTGTTAACAAATGACATGATTGTCTATGTAGAAAATCTGAAAGAATCAACAAAAAAAAACCTCTGGGAACTAATAAGCAGTTATAGCAAGGTTGCAGGGTACAAATATGCAAATATGCAAAAGTCAATCGCCTTCCTATATACCAACAATGAAACAAGTAGAATTTGAAATTAAAGGCATAATAACATTTACATTCTCCTCCAAAAAAAAAATGAAGTATTTAGGCATAAATCTAAGAAAATATGTAGAAGATTTACATGCAGAAAAAAAGAAAGGCGTCAAAGAAGAACTAAATAAATGGAACGATATTCCATGTTCACAGATAGAAAGGCTCACTGTCATCAAGATGTCAGCTTTTCCCAATTTGATCTACAGATTTAACGCCCAGTCAAAATCACAGAAGTTTATCTTGTGGATATCAACAAACTGTAAAGTCTTTTTTGTTCATTTGCTTTTTTTTTTTTGCTTCATTTGTTCACATTTTGCTAGCCAAGTGGGGTTCCATCGGTGTTATTAGTAGGCGGGTTTCCTGCCAACATCTCCGACTCGTGGGCCTCCAGGCAATTCCGGCCTGCTTTTTCTTTCAAAGTGGCTCGGTTACAGGCTGCTCAGCCAGCTGCCTTTGTCCTCAATGCGCATACAGTGGCACCCTGGCCATGTGCAGTTTATATGAAGAAGCAAAGACCTGGAATAACCAACTCAATATTGAAGGAGAAGGAAAAAAACCAAAGGACTGACACACCTGACTTCAAGATTTACCATAAAGCTACAGTAATCAAGACAGTGTGGTATTGGCAAAAGAATAAAGTGCTCAATGGAACAGAATAGAGACCCCAGAAATAGTTCCACATAAAGACAGTCGACTGAATTTTGATAAAGGAGTAAAGGTAATACAGTGAATCAAAGATAATGTTTTCAAAAAATGATACTAAAACTGGATATCACATGAAAAAAAAAAAAGCTTATATCCTTCACAAAAATCAACTCAAAATGGATCACAGACCTTAATGTTAAATGAAAAACTACAAAATTCCTAAAATATAGGAGAAAAATGAGATAATGTTAGGTATAGCAATGACTTTTTAGACACAAAATCAAAGGCACAATCCATGAAAGAAATAATTGATAAGCTGGACTCCATTAAAATTAAAAAATTCTGCTCTATGAAAGATACTGTCAAGAGAATGAGAAGACAAGCCACAGACTGGGAGAATATATTTGCAAAACACACATCTGATAAAGGACCGTTACCCCAAACATACAAAGAACTCTTAAAACTCAACAGTAAGAAGACAAACAACCCAATTTAAAAATGGGCAAGACTTGAATGGTCACCTCACCAAAGAAAATATACAGATGGCAAGTAAACATATGAAAACATGTATAACATGGTAGGTTATTAGTGAATTGCAAATTCGAACAACAATAAAATACCACTATCTACCACTAGAATGGCCAAAATCCGAAACACCAAATGCTAGCAAGGATGTGGGGCAACAAGAACTCCCATTCATTGCTAGTAAAAATGCAAAATGGTACAGCCACTTTGGACTACAGTTTGGCAATTTCTTACAAACGTAAACATACTCTTACTATATGATCCAGCAATCATGTCCCTTAGTATTTACCCAAATGAACTGAAAACTATGTCCACACAAAAACCTGCATATGAATATTTGCAGCACCTTCATACATAACTGCCAAAACTTAGATGGAACCAAGAGGTCCTTCAGTAGGTGAGTAAATAAATAAACTGTGGTGCATCCACACAATGGAATATTATCAAGCATTAAAGAGAAATGAGCTAACAAGCCATGAAAAGACATGGAAGAAATTTAAATGTATACTACTAAGTAAAAGAAGCCAATCTGAAAAGGCTATATACTGTATGATTCCAGCTATGTAACATTTTTTAAAAGGCAAAACTATGGAGACAGTAAAAAGATCAGTGTTGCCAGGGGTTGGGGGAAAGGAGGAATAAACAGGTAGAACACAGAGGGTTTTTACAGCAGTGAAGCTACTCTGTATGTCACTACAGTGGTAGACACATGTTACTATGTCACTATAATGGTAGATACAGTTTATAATAGGGTTTTTAATGTTATACATTCTGTCAAAACATACAGAATGAGTAACATTAAGAGCCCTAACATAAACCGCTACTTTGAGTGATGATACTGATGTATCGATGTAGGTTCATCAATGGTAATAAATGCATTGCTCTGGTGCAGGGATGTTGATAGTTAGGGAGGTTTGTGGGGGAGGGATGTGAACTCTCTGTACCTTCTCCTCAATTTTGCTGTGAGCCTAAAACTGCTCTAAAAAATAAAGCCTGTTTTTTAAAAATCCCTGTGCACCTGATGGAGCGGGCATCTGAGGGAGAGGGGGATTCAACAAGATGATGATGACAGAAGAAACAAGGTAACAATCACAAAATAGCAGAGCTGAAAGATCCCTTTTAGGAAACTATCTTAGGGGACATTTAGTCCTGTAGGCACCAACCTTTTTCAGGTGGTGGTTCACTGTGACGAATATTATAACTATATTTCATCCCGTTATTAAGACTTGAAAAATTTTACTTGCAGAGAATGTAACTAAGTTATATATCTTGCAATGTAAGATCGTAAGCTACATTTGCACCTGAAAAAAACAAGCTCCTCTGCTACTTGTCCATTTGTTTTGAAATTTGTGAGCACTCAGGAGCAAGTAGGAAAGTTTAAAAAAAAAAAAAAGTCACAGTAAAAACAAAAATACATAATAGAGAAGATTCCATTACCTTATTTTCTTCTCAATTTTAGAAGCAGTTCAACTTTTGGTCAGCTCACAGGGCCATAATTTGTGAACCTTTGGTCTAGTCCAACCCTCTCATTTTACAGATGAAGAATTATAAAGACCCTGATTTAAATCAGTTTTCATCTCTGGGTCTCAAGTTCTTTATCTTCCAACTCTGAAGCCCTAAAACTCCCATTTGTTTCTTCACTGCCACTTAAGACAAATAGCTGGTTTCTTTAAAGGAAATAATATAGGGGGGTGGGGTGGTATACTAAAATAAGGCACGCTCTCTTATACTTAGTTCTGTAACTTTATATATTACTCTCCCTATCTCTTCAATCAGTTTGTAAAGGAATCCAAAGAGCAAAGTCACAGTTCTTAAACTTTGCTCCCCCAATCTCACACTGTATAGAACTTTACAGTTTAAATGTACAGAAAACCCCTGCCATTTGCAAGGGATATGTTCCCAAACCTGTAATTTCCCCCAGCAAAATGTGGGTAAGTAAAATATCACAAGAATTACTAACTATAACAAGTGGAGAAAAACAGTCATGTTTAGATGAAGGTTCTGGATCCAGCCAAAGGATCTGTTCTACGTATACCAGCTTTGAAGCAGGATTCAAAATTTGTGTCATAGCAAAACTATGCATTACATCATGGGCCTTCGGTGGTCACTTGCAAATTGTTGAAACTGCAAATGTTAAATCCATACTTTCATTTCCCTTACCTCAGCTCTATCACACAGTTATATAAAGTTAGATAAGTTACTGATCTCTCCATCTGTGTTTACCCATTTGACAAATGGCAATGATAATAGCACCTACCTTACTGGACTGCTGGGTTGATGAGGGACATATATAAAAAGCTTAGACCAGTATCTGACACACAGTGAGTGCTCACAAAATGTCAATTAATATCTCATTTGAGCCTTATGGCTCAAAGGTATTTTAATTCCCATGGTTTGCAGAGGAGGCATCTGATATGCGGTAGAAAGAACAATGACCTTAGAACCTAAGGATTTGGCTTTAGGCTCTGGTCTACTCACTGATGACCTTTGTGGGCCACTTGGCATTTTGTTTGGTTTCATCTGTACTGTTTGTAGAGACAGGGTTTCGCCATGTTGCCCAGGCTGGTCTTGAACTCCTGAGCTCAAGCAATCCACCTGCCTCAGCCTCCCAAAGTGCTACGATTACAGGTGTGAGCCACCACTCCTGGCCAACTTCTTGGTTCTTAGTTTAATCTATAAAATGGGGGCAACAGTACTATTTCTGTCTATCTACATTACTGCTATAAGCACTCAGAGAGATCACATATGTAAAAAGGTTTTGTTAGGTATAAAACACAAGTTAATCATATTGTGAATATGGTAGTGGGAGGCAGTCTGGAGTAGTGGTTAGGCATACAAGCTTTAGAGTTAGAATGCCTAAGTTCAAATCCTGACTCTACCATCTAGCAGCTGTTCAGACCCGGGCAACTTACCTATCTTTTCTCTGTCTCCGTCTTCTCACTGGTAAAATCAGGATAACAGTACCTATCTCATTAAATTGTTGACAGGACTAAGTGGGTTAACACATGTAAAGCACTTAGAACACTGCCTGGTATACAGTAGTGGTCTATAAGTGTCAGTTCTCAATAACTATTGTTATTTTTATTGTGAATTTGGCAATTATTAACCTAGTCACAACCCCACTGCCTTGCTTCACCCACTCCTTGGAAGAGAATGTCTCACCGGCTGTCCTGCAGTCCTGGTCTCTCGGTGCCAATCCTCCACCAGGGCCACAGCCTCCTCACCACTCTCAGGGTGGCGTGACTGCACCCAGGTCTGGACCTCCCTAGGCAAGATAGTCAGGAACTGCTCCAGCACCAGCAGCTCCAGGATCTGCTCTTTGAGACGGATCTCCGGCCTCAGCCAATGACAGCAAAGAGCCCAGAGCTGGCTGAAGGCCTCATGGGGTCCAGCTGCATCCCTGTATTGGAATTGCCTGAAGCGCTGGCGGGAGGCCTCTGGGCCGGAGACAGAGTCGCGGTCCTTCTCCCGGAGTTTGGATTCTGATCCCCATGAGTCCTCTTCCAGTTTCACAATCAGGAGTTCTTCAGGCTCTGGCTGCAGAGACGCCTGGGCTTGCGATTCCAGGGCCACAGCCATTGTCTACCTTAGACGCCTCACTTCAGCTGTGCTGTCCTCATCCAATGTCTTCCTCCACCTATGGTGAGTCCTTCAAGAGGCTCCTAGAAAAGGGACTGCTCCCCAAAGCTCTAAGGTAGAAAGACAAATGATAGAGTGTAAGCAAAAGGATGCAGAAGCTTCATTATCCCCCTACCCCATACCTTCCGTCACCTTTGCATGGGGGCAGAAGTGCTAAGAGATGCCCCTTTCCCATAGGCAGGAAGTGAGGCCACAATCCCGCACCAAAGCCAGTAGCACCTACCTTACTTGATTGCTGGGCTGATTAGATGAGGGATATATATAAAAAGCTTAGACCAGTGTCTGACACACAGTGAGTGCTCACAAAATGCCAATTAATATCTCATTTGAGCCTCCCACTTTGGAGGAAGACAGTACAGTATTCAGTCCTCTAGGTCATGACTGAACACCTTAGCCTGGCATCCCACACCTCCATGATCTGGCCCAGTATAGACTTCCTCCCTCCTACACATGTCCAAAGTCCAACCTTCCCTCAAATTGGGTTCCAAATGTCACCCCCTCCATAAGGCCTTTCTTCCCGAATCTTAAAGCTTGATGTTCTCCTTGCAAAATCCAACAACTCCATGCTATCCCCTGGTCATCCCACCCATTTGGCATTATTCACCATCCCTATACGTGACTCCTAAAACTCCAGCAAGGACCTGTTTCCAGATCTCCAGACCCCAAAATCCAAACTCCTTCATGACATTTCTACTTGACTGTCCCTTAGGCACCTCAAACTCAATGAGTCAAAAACTGGATTCGTTATTTTCTCCTGCAATCATGTCTGCCTTCTGAAGCTCCCCCTTCAGTGAAGGCACTGCCATCAAGTTCTCCACACCAGAAACCTGGTCATTATCATTCTCTAAGATCCAAATCAATTCATCACCACGCTGTGTCCACTTGGCATCTCCAACTCCAATGCTACCACTTCAGTACAGAGAATCATCATGTCTTCCACCTGATCAGTCTCCTAACACGTCCCTGCCTCCACTCACCTCACCCCAACCTCTGCTCTATTCTTGGCACAACAACCAAACTAGATCAAAGCCTGACTACACCACCTCCCTGCTAAACACCCTCCAGTGATCTCCCATTTCCCTCAGGTTTTAAAGTGCAAGCCTTACCCAAGTCTCCAACTCATCTCTTTACCATGGTCCACTAGTCATGGTGCTCCAGAAGCACAGCTTCCAGATCTTACACCAAGCTGCCCTCTGAACCTTCCCCTCTTTGGGAAGGTCTCCTTTGGGAATGGGCTCCTCCCTTCCTTCAGCTAGCAAGGTCTCAGCTTAAATTGCACTTTTTCCATGAGGCCTTCCCTGCAACCTGAAACAAGATTCAGTCCTCGACCGCAAGCTCCCATAGCATCTTACATTTTCTCTACCATAGCCCTGATCATCCTTTACTGTAATTTTCTTACCCACTAGATTATTAGCTTCCCAAGAGACCTAGCACAGTGCTCAGCACATATAGGGAGTACTGAATAAATGATAAAGTCATGAATGATCGACTAATGATGATGGTGTATCATTAAGCAAGAATTACAATTAATCCCTTTCTGTGCACACTAGATAAAAAATAAATGACCGTCCTGCTCATGCCAAAAGGAATTCCTTTCTCTTTTATTTCCATGTCTCTGTGACACTTACCACTTTCTACACTGTATGAGACACTGTATGAGAAGGATATGTGTATCTATGTTGTCCCCAAGGAGATTACAGCCTCTCTGATGGCACCCATGCTGGGTTATCTGAAAAACTGAGCTCACTGTGTTGTCCCAACAAGTCTGGGTGACAAAAAAAAAAATGCCCACTCAAAGGAGATCATTAGCTGCTTCCAAGTAGGAATGACATAACTGAATTGCGAATGGAGAGATGGTGGTATTTTTCATTTTGGGCAATCTGACCGGACTGAAGAGAAACAAGGCAAGGGAATTAAAGTATTGCCCTAAAGGCCTCCATATACTTAGGAAGAGGCCTAAAGCACCACTCATGACTACCTGGCAACTTCCTACTCATCCTTCAACTACCAGCTCAAGTGTCACCTCCTTTGATAGGAGTTCCTTGACATGCCCTTGACAGTTCCTATATCCCCAAAGCAATTGGTACATACCTCTAATATAGGTATTATCCTACACTATTGTAGTTACCAGTTGCTACATCTGACAGCCCCATTAGACTATATTACTAAAACCAGTATTGTATGTTACTCATTGCTGTATCCACAGTGCTCAACCCAGTATCTGATAAATAGCAGGGCCATTAAAAAGTTTTATTACCATTTATTAAAATAATAAACCTGGTATATCAAAAGCCTGATGGGATACGGATGATCCATAATTTATATTAAACTAAAGAATTCACCTTTCATGAAATTTCTTTTTGAACCACAACCTTACTGATGCATGAGTTCAAACATATTTCTGTCACCCTCTCACACAAGGAGTAATTCATCAATCATTTATAGAGTACCTGCTAAACCCTGTTTGGAAGCTACAGATCTAACAGTAGCTGGGACTGACAGTCCCTACCTTCAAGAAAATTACAGTCTAGTGAGACAGACAGTCAATAAGCAAGCAAAGACAATTGCATTCCTGCATAAAGAGGACACCACAACAAAATAGGCAATTAGCAGTCATACCAGGCCCAAAGCTCAGAGTCTCAGATAATAGGTATTTTCTCCTGGAAAGACTTGAAACTCCCAAAGGTTTGTTTCAAATAGAAATCGGAAAGCCCCAGGGACCATATATCACCATAACCTTTTCCAGTCTAAGGAAGTTAGACTGAAGTATGGATAGCAGGCTATTGCGGGGAGAGAGAGGCCAACGGAGTCAGCCAACAGCCGGTTGACTTCACACAGAAGTGAACAAGGGAAAATGGACCAGGGCATTCCTCGGTTCCCAGATGACCAGGAATATCGAGCCTCATTAGGACCACCAATTTCTAAGAGTACCCCTTTACTGAGTGCCCACAAGGTGCCAGGCACAGCGCTGTGTTCCACATTCATAATCTCACTGAATCCTCCAGGCAGCAACTGGAGTCTCATTAGGTGTTGAGCTGCATTTCACTGACCTGTAACTTCCACTACAAAGATCAGAAAGAAAGAAAGAGGGTTGGGCGTGGTGGCTCACACCTGTAATCCCAGCACTTTGGGAGGCTGAGGCAGGTGGATCACAAGGTCAGGAGTTCAAGACCAGCCTGATCAATGTGGTGAAACCCCATCCCTACTTAAAATAAAAAAAAATAAAAAATAAAAAATAGCTGAGCATGGTGGCTCGCACCTGTAATCCCAGCTACTTGGGAGGCTGAGGCAAGAGAACTGCTTAAACCCAGGAGGCGGAGGTTGCAATGAGCTGAGATCAAGCCACTGCACTCCAGCCTGGGCAACAGAGCAAGACTCCGTCTCGGGAAAAAGAAAAAAAAAAGAAAGAAAGAAAGAGAGAAACAGCATAATTTAAATAGTGCAGACAGTTCCGTTCACTATCTGTTCGAGAATAAGCATGCGGTGATGGCACCAAGGACTTTGCTATTCACCAGGTTGGTCTTGATTCCCTCGTGCCTCTCTTTCCACTGAGGGTGAGTAAAGTGTCTTTCATATTACACAGTCCCTAACACAAGCCAATTCTCATCTAATGGTCAAACAAGAAGCCCGGCTGTGCTGATTAGTTTATTTATTGAAAGGCAGCATGTTAGTTTCTGAAATGGCTCCTTGCCAAAGGATTTTCAAGCTAACTGTGATTTTTGGCTAAAGTGATTTTCACCCTTAGAATATAAATATCTGTTAAGGTATGACTGTACTATATCCTCAATTATCTAAAGGGAAACTGAGTGTTTATGAAGATTTACTTAAGGTTACACAACTAGCAAGTGGCAGAGTTAGGGTCTAAGCCCAGATCCCTTTTCTCTAATCATTTTTCTTAACCACGTCCTATAGCCTCCTCTATATGTGCTAGTCATCCAAACTCCTAAGATGAGAGTGGAAAGAACGTTAAGGCAGGTGTGAGCAGACTGGGGTTCTAATTCCACTCCTGCCACTAATCAGCTGTGTTACTTTGGACAAGTCATGTAGCCCCTGTGGCTGCCTAGTTAGGCTGCAGCTTACAGCCTGATCCTACTCACCAGCTGCCCTAGGTTCCTTAATTAGTATGACGGGGTAGAGCAAGGGGGAAGGAAACTACAGTCAGTGGCTACAAGTTTAAATGGGTATAAGGACCTAGCAATGTAAATGAGTCAATGACTGAAGTGAACTGGGTGGGCACTACAGCCAACTATAGAGTGCCAGGGGAACATATGCCCAGAATATTCCTAGGCCTGCTAGTTTTTCCAAAAGAAGCTAGCACTCTGGATTTTTAAATGTTGGCAAGCAACTCAAAATTATTTCATACACTATGAGATTAAATAAAGCATGATGGTGGACTTCATTCAGCATGGGCTGTCGCTTTGCTACTTAGCTTCAGCTAAGTGATCTCAAAGCTCTCTTTCAATATCCACAAAGACCTAGAAAGAGTACAGAGGCTCCCAGGTGATGAGGGGTAAGTGCTGACTGCCATCAAAATCAAGATCTCTTTACAAACACAGGGAAGCTGAGGGGCATCTTGACTCCTAGGGTAGTAAGTATGAATGTGTCATGAGGAGCCCACTCAGTGAAAAGGGAAGAGAAGATGCTCTCCAGTTCCATGGGAAAGGCCAAGACTGGTCTTCGACCTCCAAAGAGAAAAAACTGGGAACTCTCAAAGGCTGTCAGGCCCATCTGGCTGACAGTCCAAGCTACGGCTTAAAGCAGGCTGACCTGACCTCACACATAAGGGCTTAAGTTCGGGAGAGCAAATAGGTTTCATTTAAAGCAGAAACTTCAATCAACTGGAAGTGGCTGCCTAGAGTAGTGTGCTGAGGGCTCTGAGTACTGTGAATATGTGCTGTGAACCAACCAATTAGCCATGACTGCCAGGGACACAGGAAGGGGCACTGGCAGCACACATTCCATGTATTTGTCACCCCTGGCTTAAACTCCCATTGGCAATGAATCAGCTTCAGCTTCCAGCAGATAGCCCTGCCAGGCAGGGGAAGACTAAAGCTCCTGCCCTGGAAATCCACTGGAAATAGAAGTCTTCAAGGCTGGCATAGCAAAGCTTACCCTGCATGGTCTTCATTCACACATACATCAAGTATTTACTGCTTTACATCAAGTGTTTACTGCTCTAGACTGGGCAATGGGGAAATAGAGGTGACTGAGACACTGTTCCTGTCCTGGAGATGTTCACAGTCTAGTGGAAGAGACACACAAGTCACAGATAATTATGATCAAATGTGGTAATAGGAGAATTTATGGAAGCTGAGGGTTGGGGGTGACTTAATTTGCTTAAGGAAATTGAGCAAAGTAAGAGTTGATTTTTTTTTTTTTTAAGTTAAAGTAGTTCTCTTGGCAAAGAAGGTGAGGGACAAGGAGAGAATATTCTAAGCTGAGAGAACAGCGTTTATAAGAAAACCAAATGGCCTACCCAGGAAATGAGGAAAATCTTGACAGCCCTGGAGTGTGAGGTGCATGAAGATTAGGCTGCAAAAGGAGTTTATGAAGGACAATGTGTTTGGACTTTACAGGTTATGGGAGGCAATGAAGGTTTTCAAGCAGAAGGCATAATCAGATTTGTAAGTTAAACAGATAACACTAGGTGCAATGTGTGTGTTCCTGCTGGGAAACTGAAAAGGCTTCTGCAAAAACCCTACAAGAGGTCGACTGAAAATAAATTAAAGAAATTGAAAGACCGGAAGATCCTTGGACGTGGAAGAATGCAAGAGGAATCAGAGGGTAAGTAGGTAGGTAGGTAGGTAGGTAGGTAGGTAGGTAGGTAAATGGGATGATGGTGCCAGTGACTTCCATAAGGCATAAGGAAAGAAGTGCAGGTTTGGGGCAGAACACAATAGCCAGTCCCATCCACTGGGTTCCAGAGGTAACAATCATTAGGGAGGTAACAAATTAGATATGCTTGTTCTAGACGGGAAGGTTGAGATTGAAACACTATTTTTAAGGTCAGGCTTCAAGCTCAGGCCCTCTTCACTTCTTGCCAGGGCCCCAGACCCTCTATCCTTTCCTCTGTGGTCTCCAGACCTTTCTATGGCTCTCCCACCTCCAAAACCTCCCTCAACCCCCTACCTTCAGACCTTTCTAAGGCCCTCCTCATTCCCAGGGCCCTCTGTCGCCTCCTCATCCCCGACCCCTGTATGACCCTTCCCATCTCCGGCCGCTGCATCCTCTGACCGTCCCTCACCCTCCACCCCCACATATAAGCTTCTTTCTCCACTCTCACCTTCCCCAGTCCCCTGTGTCACCACCACCTCCTAAGTCTCCAGCCCAGAGCCTGCGTCTCAGCTGCCCCCGCCCCGCCACCCGGACTCACCCACCGAGACACCCACTTCACAACAGGGCGGAAGTGCTCCCGGGCTGGTGCAGGGAATGCTGGGACGCGGAGTCCGAGCGGCGCCACCCCGGGAATGGAACGTCTGAGACCACAATTCCCAGAAGGAACCGCGCGAGCGCCGGTGGGCGGCCCCCTCCGTTTGCTGCCTTTCAGACGTCTTCAGCCAATAGATATGTCATCTTCTCACGGACCGTGGCACTGGAACAAGTCGGAATGGGCGCGACACATGGGGGCGGGACCTGTTGCGATCCCGGCCTTTTCCATAGGCTCCCGAATAACAGCACTGCCCAATGGGAGGGCACTCGAGCAGAAGGGGGCCGGGTTCTATTGAGGAGTCGAAGTGAGAGCCTCAGACCCCGAGAGATCAAAGCAGACAGAATAAGAAATAAGAAGAGAGAGTGACTAGAGGTGACCAGCCCGATAAGCAGGAGAGAACTGGACAGTTGTAGCTTCAATTTCCAGCTTACAGCTAAGCTGTGTGCCTTTGGAAGAATTCTGAACCTCGTTCTCTTCACCCTTAAAATGAGGGTAGTAATGACATCCATGTCACAGGGTTTTGTGAACCTTCAATGAGCTAATACACCTAAAACGATTAGCTCAGGGCCTGGCTCCTAATAATGCACAACGATTGTTAGCTATTATTATGTAAATCAGTTAGTACAGAGCTTGGCACTTTGTAGGTGTTGGAAGAATGTTAATCATTATTACAGAATAATCCTCATATAAATGCGTTTGCTCTGTACCACTGTGAATACTTTGGGGCATGAACAATCTAATATGGTGTTGAGAATGTGGGCTTTGTAGTCAGACACGGATCCAAATCCCAGCTCAACTACTTCCCAGCTATATGGCCTTGAACAAACTACTGCATCTATGTTGTCTTTGGAATTTTCATCTATAAAATGCAAGTAATGTAAGAGAATTTACATCACAGGGTGTTGTGAAGGTTAAATGAGACGATTTAGGTAAAAGTCTCTGAAGTCAAGCTGCTTGTGTCTGAAAGTTCTTACTTTCAAATGAAGGATGCAGGTCTTACCACTCGCTAGTTGTGAAACCTTGGGCAAATTACTTAGCTTCTTTGTGCCTCCATTTTCCCATCTGTAAAATGGGAATGATAATGCTTGCCTCTTCCTGAGAGGGTTGTTGAGAGGAATAAATGGGAGAGGGTATGTAAAGAGCGTGAAACATGTCTGATACACAGAAAGTGTTTAATAATCATTAGCTAGTCCAGGCACGGTGGCTTGTGCCTGTAATCCCAGCACTCTGGGAGGCTGAGGCAGAAAGATCGCTTGAATCCAGGAGTTCGAGACCAGCCTGGGCAGCATAGTGACACCTCGTCTCTATTTTAAAAAATAGAAAATACAATAAAATACTTAATCATTAGCTATTATTTGTATTATCAATTGCTATGTGGCTTAGGGAAAATTGACAATACCTAGCATCTGGTAAGGGCTCAATGCATGTTGGCTAGTATTAAAATAGGAGAATTCTTAGTTTTAATGACCTAGTTTAAATTCCTTCTCTGTGAAACATGTTCCAACTTATTTGTAGTAATAACTCATGTGATTTTACTCAGTAAACATAATAACAACCTGTAAATACCCCTTGGTGTTGAAGTCTCACAGTAGCCCTATGAGATTGGTATTGCTTGCTCCGCTTTACAAAGAGGGAATGAGACTTAGAGAAATGAAGTGACCTGCTCAAGATCACAGAGCCAATAAGAACCAAGGCTGGGATTTGTCACCCCGTGGGAATGTGACTCCAAAGGTCCTACACTGCATGAGGAAGAGACCATATATGGAAGTAAGAGGGTTTGAGATGGGGAGGGACAGTGCAACCGTGTGGGGTGTCAAGGGAACCGGAAATATTTGAGAGAGTGTCAGGATCTGAAGCTGGGGAGGCAGTTTTGCAGGGTCAGGTGAGGACATGTCCACTTCAGCATCATCTGCCCTAAGAGGAAGAAGAGAGGCCAGTGTGCAGAGAGAGGAGAGGACACCATTAGGACACAAGAGGGCGCACCTCGCCTTAAATCCAGCCTCGAATTATTCTGTGGTTTCCCTTAGCCTTTGTCTAATTAAAGTCTGGCATTCTCCAGAAGAAGAAAACTAAGGAAGGCCCCAAGGGGCCAAGTGCCCTTTAGTGCCATGTAGAAATAAGCAACAGAGCCTGAACCTGTTCCAAATTCTCTCTGGTTCAGCACCCATCAGGATTTGGTTTGCAAGCATTCTGTCTGCATTTGTCTACCAGCATTCTCTCTGGTTTGGGCAGACACTAGGCCCTAAGGATGCAGAGATGAAGCAAACCTCGTCTCTCAGCCCAGGGCCTGATCTCTAAACTTTCCCAATAGAGCGCTCCTATGAGTGAAGCCTTTTCAAGTTTTCAAGTTGAGCACACACTCCCAACATATGTGTATTTATTTATTTATAAATGATGTGCCTGTAATAGCTAACTTTCCTTGAACATTTGCAATGCATTATTAGGTCCTGCTCTCAGTGCTTTATATGTATTAACTCATTTAATACATCCAAAACCCTTTGAGGGAGAGTCTAATACTATCCCATATTACAGAAAAGGAAACTATGGTATAGAGAGGTTAAATAACATGCTAAAGGCACATGGCTAGAAAAGCAGGCAGTCTAGCTTCAGAATAAAGTGAGATTTTAAAAAAAAATAGAAATAGAAGGTATAACAGTTTCTTTGCAACCCTAGTATGATTATCTCGTGCACTCAGCTTTGGAGACCGCTTCTATTGCTTTCAGACCTGTGATTAGTCCTTTGAGAAAAGGAGGGGCAGGAAATTGTGGGAGCGCAGAGGCAACTGCTACCTAGGCTGGAAGATCAGGAAAGGCTTCTGAAGAAAATGATGGCTGAACTGCATCTTAAATAATTCTTAGGAGTTCTCCAGGGAAAAGGTATTTTTCAGTGCAGGAACAGCATATGCAAAGGCCCAGAGGCAAAAGGTGTGATGGTGTCCTGGGACCTACAGGTAGTCTAGCATAGTCAGAGTACAGAATGACAAGGGGGTAGGCTCCTCCTCCCAGTGTTGCTATGAGGCTTAACTGGAGATAGATGGGAACAGGCTTTCAGGTTTTTATTGAGGGAACAGGCAATCAGTCTATTGTCTCCTGGGCAGCATCCCAGCTTTTTTTTTTTTTTTTTTTTTTTTTCCTGAGACGGACTCTCGCTCTGTCACCCAAGCTGGAGTGCAGTGGCGCGATCTCAGCTCGCTGCAACCTCCGCCCCTCCAGGTTTAAGCAATTCTCTGCCTCAGCATCTGGAGTAGCTGGGATTACAGGTGCGTGCCACCATGCCCGGCTAATTTTTTTGTATTTTTAGTAGAGATTGGGTTTCACCATCTTGGCCAGGCTAGTCTTGAACTCCTGACTAGCCCACCTCAGCCTCCCAAAGTGTTGGGATTACAGGCGTGACCCACCGCGCCTGGCCGCATCCCAGCTTTTTGATCCTTAGCTGCCAATACCGCTATAACCCACATGGCAAAAGGGGCCCCTTGGCCCCTTGAAGATCTGGTTGAACTTGGCCTGGACCCCATTCCACAGCTTAGGACTGGCCAAAGGCCTCTCTCTTTGCCCTCTCTCTCCATGAATTTCCAACCTTATTTCCTCTGGGCTACAGTTTCTGTGAATCCAACCCTTTCACCTTCTGCCTCATTGGCCTCCAGCCTGGGCAACAAGAGCAAAACTGTGTCTCAAAAAAAAAAAAAAAAAATCAATCAGGCCAAGCATTTCATGGATTTAGTACATTTATTGAGGATTTGGAGGTCTTGAGATTACATTGCAAACCACATGGCTACCTGCCATCTCCCAGATTTTCTCATTCAGCCTCCAGAGCCTTCCCAAGGCCTGTGTTCCTATTTGATCCTCCCTTGCACACACAGTAGCCCCACCTTCTACTGAAAACTGAATTCAGTCTCACAGCCCACACATACTCACTATCTCCCTGCCAAGCTGGCTTGCTTTTCTTACCCCCACCTTCCAACACACATGCACCCCATTCTACCCTATTCTAGGCTGCTCCAGCCTGCTCCCTAACCAAGCCCAGAAGTCATTCTTTCTTTCATCTTCCTTGGGCCACATACAATAGTCTCTTTGGCAGAGCAATCAGGCCAATCTATGGTAGCAGGGGAGCTGGTGGCATAAGATGGGCTCCAGGAAGACCAGCAGTAGCCCTGGGGGGGCAGGTGCGGGGTAGCCGGCAGAAAGGAGGTGGCCAGGCGGAGCTCCAGGCATCAGCAGGAGGTGTGCAGGGCCTAGTGACTCAGCACACAGAGTGTGACCTGGCTGCCCACCATGCTGTCTACCGCATTGCCAGCCATATCCTTGCCTGGCTCAAAATCATGCTTAGGGAGGCAGAGGCACAGCCCCTGGCCAGCTGGAGAGCAGCCCTCTAGAAAAGGCAGCAGCTCCTGCACCATCCAGCCCTGGTCTTGCCTGCAGTGGGACACAAACACATCATAAAGGAACCTCTTGCCTTCACCCTTCCAACTCCTCAGACTCTGGAAACAAACCCTGATCAAGACCTGGAGATAGATAATCCAGGAGTTCCTGGCCTCTTTTAGGAAGGGCAAGGAGACCAGCAGAAGCAGCAGGGCAGAGCTGCCCAAAAAGAGCTCCAATCCCGAAGTCTTGGGGCAGTGGCTCCAGAGAAAAGGGAAAAGGAGATTCTTTGAGTGGCCCCCAGCTTCTGCATGGCACAGCTGCTGTGATACTATATGTATGTATGTTCTGGGGGACTGCTAAAGCCAGGGCCCCACCCAGGCATTGGCACACTGGCAGGCCAAGGATGAAGTCAGAATATAGATGTACTGGGGCATCCGAGGACTGTGCTCCTGGAGGCTGTCATCCAGCATAAGGTCTTCCTCCCTGTCTAGTACTAAGACCTGGAGACTGCCTAGGCCCCCGAAAGCAGCAGCAGACAGTGTCTCCAATCCTGTTTGGGACAGCTGCAGCATGTCAAGCCTGGGCAGCTCACCCACCAGCTCCTCAAGCCACACTGGGCGGGGGCGTGCTTGAGACTGCAGTGCCTACAGCTTCAGCTCCTGTAGGCTGGGCAGTCCC